ACTATTAGAAACTACCAAGATCAGTGTGAAATCACTAAAGCACCTGTTTGACACTGCTTCACACAAATCTTCAATTAGCAATCAGTCTGTAGGCCTGATAAAAAAGGGGCCAGGTTCTTGTTGTTCTTTGCCAGCATGGATGGAGGAGGTCTAAGGCAGATGAGAGTGAGAGTAAGAGGTAGAGGGGTCTGAGGAAGAGGAGTCCGTGTGCAAAGTGGAGGTGTAAAGAGTAAGAGGTAGAGGGGTACGTGGAAGAGGAGTCCGTGTGCGAGGTGGAGGTGTAGTTGGAAGGGCTCAAGTTTCAGATGAAATTCGAGCAACTATTATTGATCACATTATCAATCATGGCCTTTCTCTTAGAGAGGCTGGACAAAGAGTCCAACCTGTTCTAAACAGAAACACTGTTGCTTCCATTGTCAGAATTTTTCAACAGGAGAACAGGTAATGTTGCTGTACATTAATCCAAAGGCTACCATTCTCTGGTGGTCGAGGGACAATTTTTAGTGCTGAGCAGGAGGCGGGCATTGTAAACATGGTTGTGGCAAACAATGCCATAAGGCTGTGTGAAATCAGGGAAGCAGGGATCACAGATCAGGGCACATTTAGGAATACCAACAACGTGAGCCTGACCACCATTGACCGCATCCTAAGAAGGAACCATATGGCCATGAAGCAGCTCTATAGAGTTCCATTTCAAAGGAACTCTGATGTTGTGAAGGAGGCCAGATGCCAATTTGTGGAGGTAAGGAAACATTACTATAATAATAATTTATACTGTATTGATCCCACCTTGGGGAAATTATTTTTGGACAGCTGCACTGATTATGGGGTGTCAGTGTCTTGTCCAAGGACACTTAGACATGTGGCCAGACTGGGAATTGAACACCCAACATTCTGGTTTACAGACGTCTGCCCTACCCTTTGAGCCACATGTCACCCCCATACTGTACTGTAATGCCTTGTCATATCATGCAGTTAGAGTGAACTAGAGACTCCTTTCATTGCAATTTTGCCTTTTTTTACTTAGGGAATAATGGAGCTTGAAGTTGAGGAGGCACATCATGTCTTCATTTATGTTGATGAAGCCAGCTTCAATCTCAGCAAAGTGAGAAGACATGGAAGGAAGCTCATTGGGCACAGGGCCACTATCACAGTTCCAGGACAGAAGGGTGCCAACATAACCATGTGTGCTGCCATCTCCAATGATGGTGTCCTATGCCATATCCCCACAATTGGCCCATACACCACCGAACGCCTCATAACATTCCTGAATGCACTTCATAAGAGGCTGATCCCACCCAAGGAGAGAAGTCTGTTGAGGCCTGGCATGCCACTCTTCATCATTATCTGGGACAATGTGGCGTTCCACCACTCTCGCGTTGTCAATGAGTGGTTTGGAGTACACCCTCGTATGAGGATGCTGTTCCTCCCAGCATATTCCCCATTTTTGAATCCCATAGAGGAGTTCTTCAGTGCTTGGAGGTGGAAGGTTTATAAACATCATTCCTATGAGCAAATGCCCTTGCTGAATGCAATGAGTGCGGCTGCCCAACAAATAGGTGCAGAGGAATGTCAAAGTTAAAGCATGCAAGAAGATTTTTCTCTAGGTGCCTTGTAAGAGAGGATATTGAATGTGATGTGGATGAGGCCATGTGGCCCCATCCTCAAGACAGAAGAGACTGAGTTTGAGTAGTGGCTATGTCTTACAATAGATTTTACTGTATTTTGGTTTACATTTTTTTTCTGTAATATTTAGTTATTATATGCGGTATTTCAGTTTTCAGCCACAGTTTTAAAAAAAGAAAGATCATGTATTCAATAAAGATTGTATCAAAGTATTTCTTATTCTGGATCCAATACTTTGCAAAAAGGCTAATTTGACACAGCCTATATAGAAAGACAAATGGCACTGGCTATAGGCTACAATGACAAGCAATGGTGCACTGATTCACACTGAGTTGTGTATTTTGTTGTCCATTGTGTAATGGCTGACTGAAAGAGCTCATATACTTGTTTGCAAGTTGTGTTGTTTGAAGGCAAAATTTGCTTTTGTTGCATATTTTAAATGTTTTGGCATGGTTAGAGCCTTTTGCAAACAAATTGTGTCATTTTGCCATCAGTGATACTGTTTAGGCAGGTGTGTTAACTGTTTTGAAAATGTGGAGTTTCAATTGATGGCTGCTTCAAAGCAATCAAGAAAAACTATAAACAATTGACATGTATTGTTCATCAATAACATTAGAACTTCCAGGGGTTTTGATCCATAGTACAATGGGCATAATGCTACAGTCTCAGACTTTTGGTGTTGTTTCTTTGTTTGTTGTTTTTTACATTTCCAGCACCTCCCTGCTCCCACCCCACCTTGCAGGTTAACAGTTGTGAACTATTGATACTGTGCTTTTTTTATGCTGTCCAAAATGTATAAATACCAATACAAGCTTCTGATTTACATTAAGGTACATGTGATGCCACCCAGTGGTTTAGTTCTCTCAGACACTATGACGTCCACACAGAGGTGGACAGAGTGGGGCTGGGCACTTTTACAGCTGTTCCAGCTGTTGTTGCTGGTGTCTTTTTCTCAGGCTGAGGAGCTGGTGTGTCGCCAGAGAGGGGATACTGAGAACCCACAGCTATATAAGGATGGAGACATTATACTGGGGGGAATCTTTTATTTCCACAGCAGCTGGAAAGACAGACAGGATACCTACATGCACAAACCACTGCCACTGGAATGCACCAGGTAAATTATGATGAATTTATATTTAAAATATCTGAGAAACAGGTATAAAACGTTTATTGAACTGACATAATTTAATTTTGATAATTAAAATACTCAGTGATATTAATACCAAAAAAATGTCATTTTCTATTCTGTTGTTTTTGTTTAAAGCACTGTTATGAGTACAACTATTTAAAACTGTCTGTCTACATCAAGTTTGTATTTCAGAGGGTACCAGTATGCCCAGGCTATGATTTTTGCCATTGAGGAGATTAATAACAGCACAGACCTACTACCTGGCATCTCTCTGGGCTATAAGATCTATGATAATTGTGACTGTATGACCAGAAGTGTGAAGGTTGCACTGGCCTTGGCTAATGGTAATGAAGTTGTGTCTGTACCCACTGAGGCACCATGCACCAGACCTGGACAAGTGCAGGCCATTATAGGAGGGACCTCTTCCTCTACTAGCATGGCTATGGCTACTGTCATCGGACCCTTGCATATCCCAGTGGTGGGTAAGACTGGTAACTATGAAATTATAAATAATCATTAATTAGTAATTAAAGTGCAATTATTCCAACTGCTCAGAGCAAATGTGAATGTGTGATTGTTCTCTGTCTTTATCTTGGGAGGTCATTTCTTTTTCTTGTAGATCAGTCCCTCTGCCGCCTGTGCTTGTCTCGGTGACAAAACCAAATACCCATCCTTCCTCAGAACAATACCCAGTAACTACTATCAGAGCAGAGCCCTGGCCCAGTTGGTCAAGCACTTTGGTTGGACTTGGGTTGGAGCTATTAGAAGCAATAATGATTATGGCAATAATGGCATGGCTACATTCACAGAGTCTGCACAACAGCTGGGCATCTGTCTGCAGTATTCTGTGTCTTTCTTTAGAACAGATTCATCAGAAAAAATAAAAAAGATAATTGACATTATCAAGGCTTTCACCTCCAAG